ACATTATCTAGTAATAGGAATTTCGATCTTGAGTTTAAAAGATGAAAAAAACTGATGGCATTTTATTTTGGGATGTTCACACAAGAACAAAAACAAAAGGAACACTAGAGAAACTAGGAGTATCTTAAACTAGACTTATGGACATTGCTCTGTATTTTCATTTATTGGATGCTACGGTCTTATTATTCATATAATATGTATGAGAAATCTAATTCAGATTGTTTTTCTATATGGGTAAAGATTCATTCTAAAGCTGGATCGAGGTGAAGAGATTCCATCTTGCCCTCAAGTTCATCACCGCAATTATTGTTCGTACCATCCTGAGAAAGAAGAACATTTCAAGAATCTCATAAGTAGCTCTTTGTTTAAGATCTCTAGTTGTAAATTTAAGCTTTTACCTGATTGGTATTGGTTATGTTTGCACCACCAATTACGTGAAGTCCCTGGTTACAACCAAAAAAACAATTTGAAGCAACGCTTAAATTATTTATGTTAATTAAGGATATACAATATTGTTAGAACATAATTATTTATACGAACCATAATCTTGTTTAGAGATAAGGAGTTAATCTCTGAGCCAAATTCACATCTCTTATCCATCCTCCACACAAATACTATACAAACCTCATACACAACATAACGAAAGAGAAAAATATAACAATCAAACAACGAGAAACCAAGTAGAAATCCGCATTTGATTATGAACAAATAAACCATAAAAACATCCTGTGTTTTTTTTGCGATATTTTACAATCTATAATTTTCAGGAATCCATATAAACCACGCATCATTTTTCACAATTAAAATTGTACTTACCATTCTTGATTCCCAAAAGAGTCCCTTGTGGTTGTGGGCTAATATGGTAGATCGTTCCCTCAAACCGCACTCCAGTATCTCTTGTCATGAAAGTGACAATAGATCCTATGGTCAATTCTTGAGAGTTTGCCATTTTTGAAGAGGATTTGGCTGATTATTTATGTGAACAATTTGATTGTTCTCTGGCTCAGAAGAGAGAAGGGATATATGTAGTCATGTCATGTATAACTAAGTGCACTGTAAATTTCTTCTTTCCTATACCATAAGGCAATTTCTTGTTATTCAAAAGTACATTCTCTATCAATTAAATAGAAAAGATGAAAACAAAATTATTGAAACATAATAATTGACGCGCCAAAATTTTAAATTGACTACATGGAAAAGTTTGTAAACTTTGAATAAATAAATTTCAATTTACTACCTAAAAACATAAAAATTAATTAATAAATTTTCAATTTACTACCTAAAAACATAGTTAACCTTTTAGTTTATAATTTCGATATTATTTTACTACAAAAAATAGTAAAGCTTTAAGATGCACACATATTTAGGTTGTTCAATTGTAGTCTTTGATCCGCTCTGTTGTATAAGTTGATATATCTTTACTCCATTTCATCAAAAGAAAACACAGCTTCTGTTTATTTGTTTCATTTTATTTATAAATTGATGACACTAACTTTTCACAAAATTTGTTTTTTTTTACTGAAAAATGAGTGTTTTTTTTTACACAACCTTGAACTACTAGAGTTTCATGTGTTAATTCTTCGTAATGTTTTTTTGCCATTTATATGTCGATTTTGATATCAAGTTTCCAATGTATATCAATATTTATTATTTTGTAATTACACTATATTTATTTTAAACTTAAAAAAGAAACATATACTCAAATTTAAATATACAAAATACTATAAATTTAGGTTTACTTCCTTTAAAATCAATTCATAAAATGCTTTACATTCTTAAAATCATCCAGCTTTACATTCTTAAAATTGCAAGTAAACCACATAAAATCATACCTAAGTATAACGTATAAACATCGATTCTACTCACGCGAGTTTCACAATTAAAAATTTACTTACTATTCTTGATCCCTAAAAAGTCTCTTGTTGTGGCTGTAGGCTAATATGGTAGACCGTTCCCTTAAACCGCTCTCCAGTATCTCTCCTCATGAAAGTGACAATAGATACTATGGTCAATTCTTGAGAATTCGCCATTTTTTGAAGAGGATTTGGCTAATTCTTTATCTATTTTTTGTGTTCTATGTGAAGATTTTGTTTGTTCTGAGTCAGAATAGAGG